CCCCCACCACCGGCCTGCAGCGGGCCCCAGCCCGCCAGACGCCAAGAGCAACCCTCAGGAGGACCTGCAGACCCAAGACTGGGTAAGCAGTAGGAGGCACCTCCCAAAAGGCAGGCTTTAGATGGCCGGGCCGCTTGGACAGGGGCATGGAGAGCCGGCCTCTGAGACAGACAGGAGGAGAGGACGGACGGCTCACACAAACATGCAGTTCCCAGGGCCCGCCTGCTCCAACCACCTTTTGCTTCCTCTGGTGGACACTGAGGAGGGATTGCCGCCGTCAGGAAGAGTATGCCACACCTTCCCACCCAACCCTCCCCAGCGTCCCCCGGCCCTCAACAAGAGGGTGTCACTCAGTGGGAGGGAGAATGAGGTCCCCACAGCAGGGAAGTGTCCTCTCTGGATCGGTACTGGCCATCACTGACATGTGCACAGCAGCCTGTTGGTGACAGCCTCAAACAGTAAGCAAACCCCGATCAGCCGTCGCTGGATAGCGGACACTGAATGGTGTTCAGAAACACGCCAGACTGTGCGGACCCTGGGACACTCCCAGAGCACAGGACACCTCACTCTCTGTGGTATAGTTTCCACTGAGGAAGAGTTCAAAGCCCAGACCACATCAGTCAAAACTGTGGCCAAAACGCACACTTGGTGGTGCTTTGGTTGTGTAAGCAGCCACTGAACCAGGGGCACTGAGGTGTATGCTTGTCTACCTGTGTACATGCTGAGGTAAATGGTGACGGGTAAAGAGAGTAGGCTCCCAAGACTGGTGTCATTGTTCACACACTGAGGAGGCAGGGGTGGGAGGGTTACAAGTTCAAGGCCAGGCTGAGCTATGTAACAAAACATGGTCTCAAAAAAACTAGCAACAGGGCTGGAGAGATGGCTCAGGGATTAAGAGCGCTGGCTGCTCTTCCAGAGGTCCTGAGTTCAATTCCCAGCAACCACATGGTGGCTCACAACCACCTTGAATGAGATCTGGTGCCCTCTTCGGCATGCAGGAATGCTTGGAGGTAGAACATTGTATATATAACAAATAAATAAATAAATAAAACTAGCAACAGCAACACTAAAGGGTGGGGTCCCAGAGTCACCTGCATGGCTGACTGAGTACCTCAGCATGTCCTCTGGGACCCGATGCTTTGAGGCCCCTATAAAGGTGACAAGTGCTAAGCTCTGACCTCTACAGTGCTAACCTGTAGGCCCCTCAGCTTTCATGAGGCCAGAGAACATCTCACATGGGGCTCTAAAGTGTCATCAGTTGGTGAGGTTTGCTCAGGCAGAGGGGCAGCTGCAGTGATTTTACACCTGTGAGGTAATGGGGGAGAACAGAGTCACTTCATTGTCTGCCACAGCTTGGCTCCTTTTGGGGTCAGCTACAATCTGAAGTTTCTCTGCTTCTTCCTTCCACAGTTCTCAGGCCCTGGTGGTGGCTCTGGCCTTGAAGGATGTCCCGGCTGCCTTCCTTAACCTTGTCCTGTGTCAAGTTCTCTCCCTTGGTATGGATTGTGCTTGCCCTGGGTCTTCCCTCTGCTGGCTGTCTCTTGTCACCTCCCACAGAGCTCCTGGCCTGGCTAACATAAGTCCTTTGTTCCTCTCTCCCAGGCCCAGCCCTTAGAGTCATTTTCTTTGCAGGTTGTCTTCAGCCCATGAAGCCACACACGGTGCCTTAGAATGCAGGGACCTTGGGCTGCGGCAAGGATTGAAGGAAACCTTCCCAGCAGAGGGTCTTTTTTTTTTCCCCTCTTTCTCGAGACAGGGTTTCTCTGTGTAGCTTTGGAACCTATCCTGGCAGTTGCTCTGGAAACCAGGCTGGCCTTGAACTCAGAGATCCACCTGCCTCTGCCTCCTGAGTGCTGGGATCAAAGGCGTGCGCCATCACATCCCAGCTCCAGCAGAGGGTCTTCAGGCGTCCAGGTCAGCCACAGTACAGTACTTCCTGACAATCTTCCCAGCATGCTCTGAACTGGAGAGGAGCAGGCAGGAGGCTTGGGGTGTCTCTAGGCTGAACCACACACATAAGGTGCACCTTCCTCACCACCCCTGCCCCCTGAAACTGTGAGTGGCCAACCAAGGAGCACCAGACATGCAAAGCCAGCCTCATACAGAGACCCTGTGATCGTCCTGGTTGGTCCAGGAGTCTTCAGGACTCTCACACAGTGTGGTATTCAGAAGTCAGCAGCCTCCATAGCCACAGCTGCAGACAGGATCGGCTGGGGAAGATAGTCCTCACTTTTCATAACAGCAGTAAAACTCAGGAAATAGGCAAAACCTACTCTAAATGAACTTCACCCACCCCCTTTCCCCCAAGGAATTACAAAGACTTGAATGATAGGAGAGAGACACTGTGTTCCTGCAGAGCAATGTCAGACTTGGTGGGTTCTCCTCAAGGCATCTCATATAGCAGGCTCAGCGTATCACTAAAAACGCTACATGTTGCCAGGCCCGGTGGTGTCCAACTTCCCAG